TATAAGGACCCTATAGCCAAGAAATTCATGAACCCAGAAACTATTCAGTGCATTTAAACCCCCTTGATCATTCTGGGGTTATAAGGACCCTATAGCCAAGAAATTCATGAACCCAGAAACTATTCAGTGCAATTAATCCCCCTTAATCATTCTGGGGTTATTAGGACTCCATAGCCAAGAAATTCATGGACCCAGAAACTATTCAGTGCATTTAAACCCTCTTGATCATTCTGGGGTTATTAGGACCCTATAGCCAAGAAATTCATGGACCCAGAAACTATTCAGTGCATTTAAACCCTCTTGATCATTCTGGGGTTATTAGGACCCTATAGCCAAGAAATTCATGGACTTTTTGTTAATTATTTTAATTTAGCTTAGAGGATGGATCAGCCGAGATGGACCAATAGGTCCCAAGTTGTCCCAAAACGTTATGTCATGTTATAAGTGCATCAAATTGAACAATAGCACAGGGACCACATGATAGTGCTAGCATGAAGTAGTTAATTAAATTAATTTGTTGTTGTTTGTTTGTTATTAAGCACAAAGCTACACAAAGGGCTATCTGTGATCTGCCCACCATGAGTATCGAAACCCGGTTTCTAGCAGCATAAGTCCACAGACATAGCTCTGTGCCATCATTAAATTAATTGACTAATTTATCAACTCTTAGTATATGCACACAACCACAACCACTACATCACCCAAAAGACATTGCACGCTATAGAGTGTACCATCACATGTACAGCACACTCACAATGTGTACACACACCATAAGTGGAGAGAATGCGTACCACACATGCACACCGTTATTTGCACATACCATAATATTATGGTGCACACCCACACTGATGATATACATGCAGGATATCAACAGAAATGAATGAATGATGCATAAGATCGTGTTACCTTGTATGAAAAAATGTATGAACATGTGGAAAAAAATATTTTAAAACAACTAAACGTGTAGGATTGGGTGCACCAACAAGTGGGGAAGCAAGAAATGAATGGGCATATGGTGTAATAAAACTTTCTCACAACCGACATGTCCAATATCTGGTTTTATCATTTATTTTACGGGAACGTACGCCACATGTAGTGCTGGTAAGTAGGTAAATAACCTAAAGGCAAGGAAAAGAAGAAAAAAATATGAGATGAACATACATGGGCGCTGTTTCTCCAGGAGAGTGCTCTTGTGTGAAAACCACACCTGATGGGGAGTGCAAGCAAAGAACAAACTTTGCCAGACTACTTATGTAATAAATAGACCATACATTTATGAGTCAATCTAACTAAGCCACACTTGTTGCCCGCAGTAATGTTTTTCCTTTTTTTTTTTTGGTGTTGTTTTTACCTTTTGAATAAATTGCGAAGCCACTATCTTGTATAATTTTCCTGGTGTACCATATTATTAAAAAAGCACCTTTAATTTCGGCACCTCCACATTTTTTGTGGCTTTATTTCAAGCAAGTGGAGGCGCAGGGAAATTCACTTTAGGAATGCACCCACGGTGTCAACATCTTTGATGATGTTTACGATTAAGGCACATAACACATTTTGTTTTTTACACAACAGAGTTTTATTTAACGCCGTATTATCAAAAATCTTACTGGGTTTTGAGAATCCACACTTTTTTTCTTCGTGAGTAATATTGTCGAGGAGCACCTGTGGAGTCAGCGCCTAAGGATTTCTTCAATAATTTATAGAAACAAAGATTGAGAAACTAAATAGAAAAGATTCGTAAATTCTCAATAGGTAAAACTATAAAACTACAGATTTTTGGATTAAGAAAATAATTTATCACGACGGTTCCGAGAAAGTGATGTTTAAAAACAATTATTAACAGGGGACAAACAACAAAAATGACATTATAACCATCGACAGGGAAAAACAGGAAAAATGACAATGTAACCATTAGTTCACAGAGCCATGTTCGGTAACGAACAGTTTGAATATTTTCCGAGTCTTTTGTAGTAATTCAACAACTTGAATACGTTACCCAATCATGTTCTTAAAGCCAGCCCTTATCATTCATATACTTATCAAGCTTTTTCTTAAACTCACTTAAATTTACTGCCTCCATAACATATGAAGGCACCCCATTTCCAAGGCCAACCACCCTATCAAAAAAACTGTCTTAGGTAAAGATGACTCCTATCTCACCAAAATTTATATAATCGTGCCCCTAATCCTACTATTCTCACTGTTAAATACAAAAAAAGATGATGCATTAACACTATCAATTCCCTTTACAATCTTAAACACCTCAATCAGAATCCCCTAACTCTTTTTATTTCAAGAGAAAACAATTTTAAAGATTTCAACCTTTCCTGGTATGACAACCCCAGGCAACATTCTAGTAACCCTTCCCTGAACACTTTCCAACAATTCAATGTCTTTCCTAAGATAAGGAGCCTAAGACTGAAC